ACAGAAGGCCACCAGACAGGTCAGGCACCATCTGCCCTTGGCAAAGCCGTGCTGGCTGCCTGGGGTCACCTGGTCATCACTCATGTGCCTTAACATGTCATCCAGGAGGATCTGCTCCATGATCTTCCCAGGCACACAGATGAGGCTTGCCAGTCTGGAGTTCCCCAGGTTCTCCTTTCTTATACATGGCAGTGATATTTGCCTTTTTCCAGTCTCAGGGGACGTTTCCTGACAGCCAGGACTGTTCAAACAGAATGGAGACACCCCATTCCTTCAGAACGCTGGGATGCAAGTCTTGGGGGCAGCAGAACAGGACACACAGCAGGCACAAGAGCTCAGCAGAGCCCATCACCACACAGCAAGGTGCTGGGAGGGCTGGGAGCCCAGGCAGAGGCAGAGCTGGGGGCTCTGTGGGACCATTTTGCTGTAGGCACAGTGCTGGCACAGCACCGTTCTGCCCTTTGCCCAGCGAGCAGCTGTGGGGCAGCCCCAGAGAAGAGCGGGTGCTGCTGAGTAATTGTGAGTTACACTCCGGGTTCCCGGGTGGGCAAAGATTAATAACAGAGCCGTGCGCTGCTTCCAGGCTGTGTGATTAAACTCTTGATTAGAAGCTCAATCTACGGTGCTCTGCTAATTCCCCCGGGCTCACGTGCTGTTAATTACGTGGTTCGTGTGGCGGTGAGGCCGGGGCCGTGGGGGCTCTGGGACTCAGCAGAGGTCTGTGAGCAGTCAGGGCCCCCCCTGCACTCCATGCCTGAACTGCAGGCAGAGTGAAAGGCTTTGGGATGGCTCATGCTGTAGAGAGGCCATCACCCCTCTCTTGCCACTTTGGCAAGGAGGTGGGGCAGTGAGTGATGCCCCAGGCCTGCAGCCAGAGGGATGGAGCCCGAGGGAAAGTGCCCAGCTCCAACAGGGTCGCACTCTTCCTATTCCATCTCATTCCATCCCATCCATCTTTATTCTGGTTAATCCATCCCACCTTGTGCTGTCCTATTCTATTTTATCTTATCCTATGCCATCCCATCCATCCCATCCTGTCCCACCTCCTCCATCCCATTCCATCTAACCCATGCCATTCCATCCTATCTCCTCCAAACTGTCCTATCAGAGAAGATCCTGTCCTGACCCATCCTGTCCATTCCATCCCAGCCATACCATTCATCCCATCATGCCATCCACCCCATCCTACCATCCAGTCCCATCCCATCCATCCTATCAGCCCCATTCCAATTATCCAAACCCATATTATCCACCCCATCACACCAATCCCATCCTATCCATCCCAGTCCATCCTATCCCCTCCAATCTGTCCTGTCCTATTCAAACCATCCCATCCCATTCTGATCCATCCCACCCCATCCTGTCCCATCCCACCCACACCATCCCATCCCATCTGATCCCATCACATCCATTCCATCCAACCCATCTCAGCCCATCGTACCACCTCTAACCTGTCCTATTCCAACCTGTCCTTTCACATTCCATCCTATCCCAACCATCAACAATCTCATCCACCTCATCCCTTCCACTCCATTACAACCCATTACATTCTATCCTGTTATGTCCAATTCCACCCCATCCGTCCCACCCCACCCCACCCCACCCCACCCCATCCCATCCCAATGACACCGCACCCCCGTTCCCGCCGCCCATGGCACTCCGGGAGCCACAGCTGTCCCCCGTTGCTCCATCCCCGCAGGTGTCCCCGTGTCCCCCCACCCCGCGCGGTGTCACAGAGCCCGGCGGTGATGCCACGCGCCCCATTCCCGTGGGTGGCGGCACCCGCGCCAGGAGGGGGCGGGGCGCAAAGTTTGGGGTGACGTCACGGGAGGGGGCGGGGGGACCCCACCGTTGGAGGGGCGGGGCCCGGCGGTCCCACCCCCCCCCCCAATTGCCGCGCCGGGCGCGCGGGGCCGCGCCGCGACGGAGCGACGGCGGTGCTCGGCTCGGTTCGGCTCGGCTCCGCACCGCTCCGCACCGCCCGGCACCGCGCGGCTCCCCCCGAGCGGCGGCCCCGGGCCGCGCCCCCCGTTGCTGTCGGAGAGGCGAGAGGTGAGCGCGGCGGGACGGCCCCGGGGGGGATGCCGAACCGAGCCGGGCTGAGCCGTGCCGCCCCCAGGGCGCGGGGCTGCTGGGCCGGGCCGGGGGAGTCGCTGGGGTTCGCCACGTGTCGGCCCGGGGCTGCCCCTCCGTGTCCCTGCCTCGTCCCCCTCTGCCGTGCCCGTGTGCGCCCCGACGGCTGCCCCGCGCCGCCCCCCGCTGCCGCCTTCCCCGACCCCGGCGGGCGCCGAGCTGCCGTCCCGTCCCAACCCCGTTCCATCCCGTCCATCTCACTCATCCCACCGCATCCCGCGCCGCCTCATCCCGTCCCGTCCCATCGCATCACACCACACCCCACCCCGCCCCATCCCATCACTGCCCGACGAGATTTGCATCCCTCCCTGCCCGCTCCCCGCTGCGGCAGCCCCCAGCTCGCCCCTGGGCAGATGCTCCCTGGTTGGGGGGCACCGGGCAGTGGGGACCCCCCGGCCCCGGCTCTGTCCCAACCCCAGGAGCTCCCTTTGGGTGCAGCACTGCGGGCTCCCGTAGCCCCTCCGCTGTGCTGCCACCTGCACTGTGGACGTTTGGGTACGCTTCCCTCCGGTCCAGCGCTCCCGTGGGATGCGGGGTGCAGCGGGGACCTTCTGGCAGCACGGCCGCAGGTGGGAGCGGGGCTGCAGGTGATGCTGGCTGTGCTGTAGCCGGGGGTCCCCGAGCCGTGAGGCAGAGCCGGGATCCGGGGTGCTGGGGGGGATGCTGGCGAGGGCTGCACGGCTGCGTCATCCCGTCCGCACCCGGCCACCCACCTCCCGCTATTGTCTTACACCCGCTGTTGCTTCTGATCCCAAATTAGCTGCTTCAGAAGGGGGGGGGGAGAGGGGGGGCAGCTGCGTGCGGTTGCCAGCGCGGCACCCAGCCTCCCTACTGTGCCCAGCTCTCACCCGGGTGCGCTCACCTGCGGGACATCCCGGGGGTGCTGACCCCTGAGCCAGCCCGGGGCAGGGGACGGTGCTCAGCACTGCAGGATGGCACCTGCTCAGCCAGCGGGAACTGCTGGGATGGACGCAGGTCAGCCGAGCGCTCACAGAGGCAACAATCAGATCCCTATCTGTCATCCCATTGGGTCCCTGCACGGCTTATCCTGGCAGCACGCCGTCAGCTTTCATCCCAGCCCTCCCAGCCGGCCACTGGCTGCGGGGACAGCCCTCATCCCCTCGCCCAGGGGCAGTGGCATGGCACAGCTGGCATCGTGTGGCACAGGGACACTTGGAGGAGCCAGGCAGGGCATGTTCCCTGTTGGGATGAGCCCAGGGAAGGCAGGGAAGCTTCAGCAGGTCTATAGCTTGGGGGTGAGTTCTCCTGCACCCATGGGTGCTTTGCTTCTCTTCTGGGAGTGGGCGCACTGAGTGGGATGGGGCTGGCTGCTCTCGTCTGGCACGGGCTGGTGCCCTGGTGCTGCACAGCGAGGGGCTCCCATCCTGCAGGCAGGGCTGGATGGAGGCAGCGAGCACACGAAGGAGCATCCCCACACCCCTGCCTCGCTGTCCTCACACCCCTCCTCGGGGTCACCCACCCCAGGGATCATCCTGGTGCCCGCACATGGTGCCACAGACAGGGCACCCATCCGGGGCCGGCGCGGTAGTGCCAGGGCTGCGCAGCACAGCAGGTCGGGTGCTGCCCGTCCCTGCCCCCGCCGCAGGATGTGCCGCTTTCTGCATCTTCAGCTCCCATCGCCATAGCAACAGGCTCAGAGCTTGGGTACCCGCCGCGCCGGCTCCTGCATCCCGCTCCGCCATCCTGCCACCAGGACTGGGGTGGCAGGTGCTGCCTGCACAGTGCGGTGCAGCACGGCATGGCTTGTCGTCCTGGGAGCTGGGGATGATGGGTGCCTCCGGCACCAGACCAGCATCCCGCTGGATGTCCCACTCAGGCTGAGTGGGGCCATGGAGCTCTTCTCTTCCTGAAGCATCAGAAAATAACATCCGTTAAAACTTCCTCCCCAAACAGGATGAGAAAAAGGAAAAAAAATTACTTTCTGGGAACAGTTTTTTTTTGCCGGCAAGCTCCCAAGAAGGGTCTGGGTTTGGAGGGTTCCTGTCAGGAAGGCAGAGGCTGTCACCGTCCCCAAATGGCAGGGTAACAGCACGCAGCTGGCAATGCTTGAGCTGAAGAAGTGTCACCACAGGGCAAAATGGGGCTGAGGAACAGGACCTAGTCCACTTGCTACACTGCCCGGTGAGCTGCTCCTGGCTCTGCCTATGGAATAAATTCGTTACTGAGCTGCAAAGCAGGCTGGTGGGGCAGAGTGGCCAGAAGCCATGGGGATGGGCTGCACTCTGTCAGGTTTTATGCTGCTCAGGAGGGACAGGTGCAGGCAGCGGGGCCAAGGCTCTCATGGCTCCTCTGCCTCTGCAGCACCGGGCCCTGCGATGCCGTTTGGCTGCGTGACACTGGGGGACAAGAAAGACTACAACCAACCGTCCGAGGTGACCGACAGATATGACCTGGGCCAGGTCATCAAAACGTGAGTGCGTCCCTGCCCGGCCCCGGGAGTGCCCACGGGGACCCCTACCCTGCACCAGTTGGGGAGCCCGGTGCCTTCAGGGCTGGGGTGCGTTCCCTGCAACGAGTGCTGATTCCAGGAAGGCTTTGCCGTCTGCTCTGAGCACAGAATTGCTGCCGGTGCCGAGGTTCGCCGCCGCTGCTGCTGCTCGCCGCAGCCTGGCGCCTGCAGTTAACCCTCCCTCTTCCCTCCCAAATATCTGCTGGGATTGCAGCAGTTCCTCAAAATCGAGGCTTCCCGGTGCACCTCCCGAAAGCAGGACTGTCTGTTCCGGTGGTGGCGGAGGAAGGGGCTCTGGGGAAGTTCTCTCACCTCCTGCCTTCCCGAATGCGGCGTTACAGTAGTGTGGAGGCATGCTGCTGTGCAGCTCAGTATTGATGGTTCTGCAGCATCCATCCGGCCGTGAGCTCTGTGCAGGGACAGGGGCCGTCCCGCAGGATGCTCCGGGAGCCCATGTGGCCCTGTTGCAGGGGAAGGGGTTTTTTCTTCACCCCCCCACTTTCCTAATGCTTTGCTTATCCCTTGCTGATTCCTTGCAGGGAGGAGTTCTGTGAAATCTTCCGGGCAAAGGAGAAGACGTCGGGCAAGCTGTACACTTGCAAGAAGTTCCTGAAGCGGGACGGGCGCAAGGTGCGGAAGGCTGCCAAGAATGAGATCATCATCCTGAAAATGTGAGTGCCAAGGCCGGGGGGGGGTGAGGCAGGTCGGTCCTCATGGGTTGGTCCCAGTGGGTGGCACCCATCCATTCACCCACCGCAACCACCGTCCCGTGGGCGCTGCAGGGTGAAGCACCCCAACATCCTGCAGCTGGTGGACGTCTACATCACGCGCAAGGAGTACTTCATCTTCCTGGAGCTGTAAGCATGGCGTGGGGTGGCGGGTGGGCGCTGTGCCGCGGGGCCACCGCAGCCTGCTCTCGGCACTGGCAGGGCCACGGGCCGGGAGGTTTTCGACTGGATCCTGGACCAGGGCTACTACTCGGAGAAGGACACCAGCAACGTCATCCGGCAGGTGCTGGAGGCCGTCGCATACCTGCACTCCCTCAAGATCGTTCACAGGAACCTCAAGGTGGGCGCTGAGGGTCCCTGGTGGGCACAGGCACCTATGGGTGCCGATGCAGCCTCACCACGTTCACGTTCCCTGCGCTGGCAGCTGGAGAACCTGGTGTACTACAACCGCCTGAAGAACTCCAAGATCGTCATCAGTGACTTCCACCTGGCCAAGCTGGAGAATGGTCTCATCAAGGAACCCTGCGGCACCCCTGAGTACCTGGGTGAGGGCGAGCTGGGCGGGCACAGAGAGGGGGCAGGGGGCACAGACTGCCTGTCTCCAGTGTCACGGTCATGGCAGGTCCCTGCCCTTCTAGTGGGTCCTTGCGGTGATCATTGGTGCTTTTGATGAGTTTCCATCACTCAGGGATCCATCCTGGGTGCTCCTGGAAGTTCTCTCCCATTCCCATCACCCTGCAGTTGATGCTGGCTGCACGCTGGGGGTCCCTCCTGCTTCCCATCACCCCAGGGACCAATCCTGAGTGCTCCCATTGGGCCCCCGCTCTGCTGATGACTGCTCTCTGTGGGTTCCTGGGTGTCCCTCGTGGGTTATTCCCACTTCCCATCACACAGAGGAGCAATCGTGGATGCTCACAACTGGTCCCTCCTGGTCTCCATCACCCCAGACACCTATCCTGATTCTTCCCAAAGGGTTCCTCCTACACCCCATCATCAGAAGTACCCATACTGGGTCCCTCCTGCTGCTCATGGGTGACGTGTTGGGACACACCATGCACAGCCACCCTGGAGGAGCAGATTGGGTGCAGGGAGATGGGTTTCCCAGTGGGGGGATGTGGTGTCTGGAGACCCCAGAGCAGGACCGGTCCCCTTTTCCACCATCCTGTGTTCCGTAGCTCCGGAGGTGGTGGGGCGGCAGCGGTACGGGCGGCCGGTAGACTGCTGGGCCATTGGTGTCATCATGTACATCCTGTGAGTGTGGGGTTGGGGACAGGGTTGGGGGGGCTCTGGATTGGGGGAGACACTAAGTACACAGCCTGCAGCCTCTCGGGGAACCCTCCCTTCTACGAGGAGGCGGATGAGGATGACTACGAGAACCACGACAAGAACCTCTTCCGCAAAATCCTGGCCGGGGACTACGAGTTTGACCCACCCTACTGGGATGACATCTCGCAGGCAGGTGAGCCACAGTTCTTGGGGGGGAGGGCAGAGGGGGACACGGGGTCCCTGTGTGTCCCACCAGCGCTGACCCTCCTCACCCCAGCCAAGGAGCTGGTGACACGGCTGATGGAAGTGGAGCAGGACCAGAGGATCACGGCGGAGGAGGCCATCTCCCACGAATGGTGAGGGGCCGCAGGGGCAGCAGGGGGTCTGGGGAGGGCGGTGGGGGCCGCTCACCACCCCCTTACTGCCCCCAGGATCTCTGGCAACGCTGCCTCCGACAAGAACATTAAGGACGGCGTCTGCGCTCAGATCGAGAAGAACTTCGCCAGGGCCAAGTGGAAGGTGGGTGGGCGCAGCCCCGTGCCTCAGTCTCCCCCCGGGGGGTCCTGACGCCCACTCGTCCCCGCAGAAAGCCGTGCGAGTGACCACGCTCATGAAGCGGCTGCGGGCACCCGAGCAGACGGAGTCGGCCCCTGCAACCACCACCGCCACCACCACCGCCACCGCCACCGCCAACGCCGCCACGGACGCCGCGGCCCCCCCGGCCCCCGCCACGCCGCCCGCCGCCAGCCCGGCCGCTGACACGTGTAACGGGGCCGGGGACGCCGCCGCCGCCGCCGCCGCCCCCGCCGAGGCCCCCAGCGAGCCGAGCGGCTGAGCGGCAGCTCTGTACATAGCCCCGGCATGGCCCCCGCACCCCCGCCTGCGCCCCACTTTTCTACGTGCCCCCAGCGGAGAGCGGGGCAGCGCCCTGCATGGAGCCCGTCCTCTCCCGGTCCCCGCCGCTCTCTCAGTCTGTCCCCCGCCGCCTCCCCCGTCCCCTCCCCCGGGGATGCTCAGAGATACCCGCGGGACACCCCCCGGGGACGCGCGCTCACGGGCCGGGCCCGAGGCGGGACGGAAGCGGGGGTCGGTCCCCCCGTCGCCCGTCGCCCACCTCCGGCCCGCCGGCCCCCGGGGGAGGGGGGCGGAGCAGAGCGGGGGTCCCCGAAGCGCTGCGCCCAGCCGGCCCCGCCCCGCCCCCGCTTCCCCCCCCCGCCCCGGGCCGCTGCATGCCGCGCCCCGCGGCCTCTATCTCTGGCAAATAAAGACCCGCCGAGGGCAAACTGAGAAAGCAGCAGCGCCGCCCGCCCGCCTCCGTGAGGGGTCGCCGCCCGGGAGGGCCGGGGTGGGCGAGGGCGGGCCGGGCCGGGTGACGCCGGGCCGAGGGCGGGCTGCCGCACGGGCCGCGCGGGGCCGGGCTCTGCGCGCCGTGCCGTCGGAGCGGGGCCGCAGCTCGGCCGTCGGAAGGACTCGCGGCGCCCCGCGGCGGGGGCGTGGCACGGCGGCCGGAGGGACCCGCCCCGCGGGGAGCGGGACGAGAGCGAGCCCCGTGACGTCACTTCCGGCCCGGACCGGAAGCGGCGGCTGGGCGGCCGGGTTTGAATCGCGCGGCGCCGCGCGGCCTCGGCGCCGCCGCTCCCGCCATGCCGATCCGCGCGCACTGCACCATTTGCTCCGACTTCTTCGATAACGCGCGCGACGTGGCCGCCGTGCCGTGCGGGCACACCTTCCATCGGGCGTGGTGAGCGGCGGGCGGGCGGGCGGGTGAGGGAGCCGCCGCTTCCTCGGGCTGCGATGCCGAGCCCGGGCGCGGCCTTCCCGCTCGGCTGCGGCTCGGCCCGCGGGCGGCGTCGGCCTGAGCTGAGCGGCCGTTTCCCTCTCCCTCCGCAGCCTGTTCCAGTGGTTCGACACGGCGCCCAGCCGCACCTGCCCGCAGTGCAGGATCCAGGTACGGCCGTCGGCGCCGCGTTTCTATGGCACCGCGCGCTGTGGGAGCTCCGGCCTGGAGCTGTGGGCCCGTGGGGCGGAGCGGAAGGCCGGATGGAGCCGAGCGTGCCCTGCCGGTATCTGTGCTGGAGCTTCGCCGCTCGGTGTAACGATGGGAAGGGCGGGAAGGAAAGCCCAGGCCCTCAGAGCTGCGCTTCTGGGGAGGCCGTCAGGCAGGCAAACTGCTGCCGTGGTTCTTAGCATCGAGTCCTGGCTCTGCTGTCCTCGTTGAGGAATGTGGATGTTTTATGCTGGCGAGGGAGGAGCTGCACCTCTCTGGAGGCTGCTGCGGTATCGGCCTCGCAGGGCTCGCTACGTGCAGCTGAAGGAGGGGTCTGGTGCAGGCTTCCAGCCTGCTGTCGCTGGGACTCGCTCTGCGCTCGTGCTTTTTTTCCTCTCAAGGTCCTGGCCCTTGTTCCTTCCCTGACTTGTTGATTCCCTCTGTTCTTCGCTGCCGCTTACATCTCTGGGTTACCATGGAGTTATCGCGAAATAACATCTTATGTAGCAGTAACTATGCAATTAGCTGGTGTCATGACTGTATATAATACTTAAAACACAAAGCTGTAACTGCATGGGGGAGGTGTGGAGAGCTATCAAATTCAATTACAGCACCTTCTGCCTGCAGAAAGCAGCACGTACTTCTGTCTTTGGATCTGGCATCATGTTAGCTCAGCGTCAGCTGCTTGGGCCTTAGCTGCCAGAGAACAGACTGCGCTCGATTCAGAAGTGCCTGAATCTTCTGCAGCTCGGGAGCTTGGCTGGAGTCGTGCTCCCAAAACTGAGTGGGGAGCCTGCAGTTGTGCTGCTGAGCAGAAGCAGCACAGATATTGCCAGGGATGGCGTTGCACGTGGACTGACATGCCTCCTGTGGCCTTGTGGCGAGGTGGCACCTTCTTCCCCTGCATGCATCTTCTATATTTACTGTTTCTTCCTGTGCCAGTCAACCTCCGCCTTCTCTGTCTCTAGGTCAGCAAAAGACACATAATCAATAAGCTGTTCTTTGATGTTGCCCTGGAGGAGCAGACAGCACTGGATGCAGAGACCTTGCAGGTATTTGATGGGTTTCTTCTATCCTGTGGTGCTTTGAGCAACTTGGAAACATGTCTGGGGATGCTGGTTCTTTGCCACCAGCTGCCTCCCGAGCTGCTGCTTGAGCTGCTGTTTGCTGTGCTATGCTCACATTTCAGACCCAGAGTGCTTCAGAGTCTCCTGCCTGTCCATGTTTTCTGTCATGGTCCAGTCTAAGCTCTGCCATGAGGCGGTCTCCCATGTGGTGGTTTAGTCCAGCCAAATCTCAGACAGTGACTTAAGAAGCCGCCTCTTCTGCTTTATTGTTCTTTCTTATTGTTCTTACTTAGCCTGGAAGCCTTCTGAAGCAGAATCAAATAAGTATCCAACTGCTTCTTCTCCATTGGGTCTCAAAGCTCCTCTCAGTGGTTGTGTGGAAATGTGCTTTTACCAAAATGCTCATGAGGAAAAGTGTTAAATTCAGTGATCTGCTGCAGATATCTGTGGCTTGACAGGTGGGTTTATTTGCATGGGCTCATAAGGAAGTGGGGCAGCAACGCTGACTTGTTTTCCCTAGAGACATTAGGAAGTGGACTGTCAGAAGCTGCACTCTCAGGGGAGCATGCAGTGCTGCTGCTGGGTCCCCATGGGGACTCCAGGCTGGAGTAGAAGAGCTGAGTGATGTTCTCCAAGTGCCAAACTCTGCTGTGGAGAGCTGTTTGTGAGGAGGGATTAACACAGAGGGGCTGTTCTGTGCTCTACTCCGTTGCTTAATATGGATGATGCACGGCTCCTTATATGGTGGAGTTATCTGTTCCAAAAAAAGTCATCAGTTGACCTTGGTATAATGGGATGCTTGTATCCTCTTGTGTTTAGAATCAGCATGTGCAGTAATTACCATAATTAGCATTGTCATGGCAACTGCTATATGTATATTGTATGTTTTTAAAATAAAGCAAGCCAGACTGTGATGTCAGTAGCACTGTCGTTCTCAAAGACCACTAATAAACTGGAGACCAAATATGCGTGCGGAGGAAATGAAAAAGCATCTCTGGGCACTGGAAGCTGTGCGCCTCAGATGCAAAGCAGTGGCTTGAAGGAGGTAAACATTGCCTTCAGGATGCATTCAGATCGGGTCTCATAAGTGTAAATAGATGAGTGACTCAGTGATGGGCTGTATGGTGAAAAATGCCCTAGAAAAGCTGTTTTTTTCTTCCTCTTATCCGCTCCCCAGGGTCCAAGATGGGCTCCCTCAGCTTTTCCCTCCATGTAGACTGTGCTGAAGCCTGGCTCTCTTCCTCTCATAAAAGATCGTAGACTTGCATTGCAGCAGGACAGCTCCGACGAAGTTTATTTTGTTGCCATTAGAGCAGTGTCTAAACTTCAGCAGGCGGGTATTTTAATGAGGTGGCTGAGGTCACTGTATAATAGGGAAGAACCAAATATTTTCTGCGTAGAGGAGCACGGTTGGCTGGTAGGGGTGCTACTGCCCCATGGGCAGCTCTGGGGGTTGCTCTAATCAGTCAGCTGTGTAATCAGCTGGACCTGTATCTGTGCAGCCTGCAGATGCCTTGAAATGAGAGCTTGGCCTCTCGCCATGACAAAGTTGGAGTGGGGTGAGAGGGTGTGCTTCTGTGTGCTAGAAAGCTGAGGGTGAAGCTGTGTCATCCTGGAGAGACAAATCTGTTATGTACCCAGCTAGAAGTGCTTGGAAGAATTGCCTTGTGGCGTTTTGATGCAGAATTATCCAAATTATCTTCTGAGTAATCAGTCTTTGCTAATCCCAGCTCTCACTTTTGCTCTGAAATATTTGGGGTTGAATGAGAGCTGAAGCTGCTCTGCTTCTGTCTGACTGCCAGACATGGGTTTCAGCTAACACTCGGAAGGTAACCTGGTTCCCTGGAGTAGATGCAGACCACAGGTTGAGAGCTGCAGCATATCTCAGCTTTTTAGTGCTGAGCCTGTTTGGTTTTTTTGTTTTTTTTTTTCCTGTACTGCTTTTAAAGATGGTCCTCAGCGATTGGAACAGTCTCTGTGTTTCTGCTGTGAAAGCAGAAATGTTACTTTTGGGGTGTAACACTGCCCCGGGGCTTGCTGGAGCCCAGCATCCTACTTGTTTGTATCTAAGGAGCTGAGAGTCCATCTTATGAAGGAGATTGGGGTACTTTGTTCAGCTTGGTAAAAGGGAGGCAGGAGAGGAGGGTTCCTGCCTATAAACCTGCCAGGGAGGGTAGAAACCTGGGAGGACAGCTGACTGCTTGTGGTTGCAATATCTTGTGGCAGCATTCCCTTGTAATCAGGCTGGCAGTGAGACAAAGGAGCTTGCATCTATCGGAGTGAAAATTGAGAGCAGCCTTTAGGAACAGTGGTGGAAGATGAGGGATTTCAGATTAAGTTGATGAATGAGGTAATGTTACATAGCTGCCTCCGGTAGCCCAGGATTTCTTTTGCTACCATGCTAATTAGCACATCTTGTGAGCTCACTAATCGTTCCTGAATAGGACTCAGAGGAGGCTGCATCAGAATAGTTCCTGCAGCAGAGCTATTTCTACCTCAGCCCTCTGTTGTCCCCCTGGGGGCAAATCTAAGTCAGCTCTGCTAGGCTTTACCCTCTGTCCCTTCTACTTACCCAGCTTTAGATCCCATGCTCTCCTTCCTGCCTTTGCTGTCACTAGCAGAGCTTTGCTTTGGTCCTGTCAGCTCTGTGGTCACTGCGACTGCTATTCTCAGCTCAGATTTGCATGTAGCATTCCAGGCTGCACAGATTTGTGTGCTCGGCTTCAGTACTGTGTTGGCATTTTATTGTGGTTTTATTCCACTGCAGTTCCTGCCTGGCTTGTTATGTGCTTTCCTCTGCAGCTCTAACACAGCTTTTTAAGTCATCTTCTGTTGACTCTTTCCTGTATTTTTTCTTTCCTCCCTCTATCTGTAATGTGGTGTGAGTTATAAATATGTATATAAATATATATATTGCCTATCTTTATAAACTCTATCCCTCCTTTGGCTATTTTCCAGTGTTCGTAGGTTATATCACTTCATCCATAATTTAAACCACGGTTATTTGCTCCCTCTCTCCAATCCTTAATTAAGATGTTAGAAATGCCTGACCTCCCCCAGGCCTTTGGGGTGCCCAGGGGACATTACGTGCCCACTGTTTGGTATAGATGGGTTTATTGG